AACCTAAGAGCGATGGCCTCCAACCTAAGAGCGATGGCCTCCAACCTGAGAGCGATGGCCTCCAACCTAATAGCGATGGCCTCCAACCTAATAGCTATGGCCTTCAACCTGAGAGAGATGGCCTCCAACCTAATAGCCATGGCCTCCAACCTAAGAGCGATGTCCTCCAACCTGAGAGCGATGGCCTCCAACCTGAGAGCGATGGCCTCCAACCTATAAATAGCGATGGCCTCCAACCTAAGAGCGATGGCCTCCAACCCAAGAGCGATGGCCTCTAACCTAAGAGCGATGGCCTCCAACCTAGCGACGGCCTCCAACCTAAGAGCGATGGCCTCCATGCCAAGAGCAATGGCCTCCAACCTAGTAGGGATGGCCTCCAACCTAAGAGCGATGGCCTCCAACCTAATAAGCGATGGCCTCCAACCTAAGAGCGATGGCCTCTGACCTAGTAGTGATGCCTGCCTCCAACCTAAGAGCGATGGCCTCCAACCCAAGAGCGATGGCCTCCAACCTAAGAGCGATGGCCTCCAACCTGAGAGGGATGGCTTTCAGTCAACCTGAGAGTGATGGCCTCCAACCTGAGAGCGATGGCCTTCAACCTAATAGCGATAAGAGCGATGGCCTCAACCTAAGAGCGATGGCCTCCAACCTAATCGATGGCCTCCAACCTAGGAGCGATGGCCTCCAACCTGAGAGTGACGGCCTGCAACCTAGTAGTGATGGCCTGCAAAACGAAGAGCGATGGCCTTCAACCTGACAGAATGGCCTCCAACCTAAGAGCGATGGCCTCCAACCTGATAGGGATGGCCTCCAACGTGAGAGCGATGGCCTCCATCCTAATAGGAATGGCCTCCAACCTAAGAGCGATGGCCTCCAACCTAATAGTGATGGCCTCCAACCTAAGAGCGATGGCCTCCAACCCAAGAGCGATGGCCTCCAACCTAAGAGCGAAGGCCTCCAACCTAAGAGCGATGGCCTCCAACCTGAGAGCGATGGCCTCCAACCTAGTAGTGATGGCCTCCAACCTGAGAGCGATGGCCTCCAACCTAATAGCGATGGCCTCCCACCTGAGAGCGATGGCCTCCAACCTAAGAGCGATGGCCTCCAACCTAAGAGCGATGACCTCCATGCCAAGAGCGATGGCCTCCAACCTAAGAGCGATTGCCTCCAACCTAAGAGCGATGGCCTCCAACCTAAGAGCGATAGCCTTCAACCTAAGAGCGATGGCCTCCAACCTAAGAGCGATGGCCTTCAACGTAAGAGTGATGGCCTCCAACCTAAGAGCGATGGCCTCCAACCTAAGAGCGATGGCCTCCAACCTAAGAGCGATGGCCTCCAACGTAAGAGCGATGGCCTCCAACCTAAGAGCGATGGCCTCCAACCTAAGAGCGATGGCCTCCAACGTAAGAGTTATTTGCTTTTTACACCATTCAGTCTTTTGTGCTACTTGCTCATCTCTCTGCAAGGGCAAGGGAGATGGTTCAACCGTTCCACATGCCATGACTGACTCCAAAGTAGTATTCCTCACAGGCAGCGCATGGAATTGTGGAAGAATACTATGGCAGAAAGCTGCGACTTGACTCCTGCAGCCCCAGGCCAATCTCCTATCCGCTGAACCGACCTATAGCGGCGGTTCACAACAAGGTGGGACAGTTTTGCATTTTGTGCACATGTTCATAAACCAGTGAAACCAGCAGCAAGATGTATGTTTAAGCCCGCATCAAGCTATATGTGAGGGCATCCTCAAGGTTCAGGTGTTGATGATGCAATTTCAGTCTTGGGCCATGAGATGAGTACACACCTTGTCGCCACCTGTTGAGACTCAGACCCAACACACAGAGTTGAAGGCTTTCTGCATTGCTTAAGGGAGAATTGTGTTCAGACCGCACCACGAGGCAGCTTCCCTTCAAATTTGATGCAACAAACATCAACAAACAAGTATTTATCACCCCATCCAATAAGCAGAATAAGAATGCTACTAGTAACAAGTGCGTCGGTACTAGGAACAAGTGCCTTACTAGCAGGAACAAGGACGCTACTAGTAACAAGTGAATCTTCAACGACGTGATGTGCTTGTGCTCCGCCAGACGGGGATGGGCCGAATTTGTGTCATCGGCTCGGTGCAGATGTTCGGAGACCGGAGCTCAGATGTTAGCGGGATGCGAGATGACAAGAGACCCGATCTCAGATGTGACAAAACAGTGTTTGTAGTTTGTACTATTTGTACGATTGTGCACCTGTTCTTTTGGGCAACGTGTTGTGAATTGTTGTGAGCTTGTTGAGGCACAATTTCAAGAACATCAGCAGGTGATTCTTGCATGAGCATGGTGTGAGATTGATGGCAAACTAGTGGAGCCCCTGACAAGCGTTCTTTATAGTATGTGAAGAAATGATGAGATTCAGCAAGGGCAATCAAACGTATATAAATTATCTAAATGCAAGAGCTTTGTGAGGTGTGT